ACAGCTCAACTACCACGACAAAAAATCATAACAGGTAAGTAATTATGCATTAATATTTATATAGCGCGTTTTAATTTCCGAGCAGCGCCATCTATTGGTGGTTTGCGGAAACAATTGTGGAATTCAGTAAAAATCATTATTACGAACTAAACAGATATCTTCTTATTCTAACCATCCATACCTTCTCTCGGCAAAAACATTCCTCTAAGAGAAGAGGGCAAACGAGTGGCGGCAACACCGAGGTGATCAACGACACTTAGAAAAGGGTAGAGAAGGGGGTGAGGACCCGAATTACCTTTCACACCTCACTTCTCGGGCAAAATGCAGAATAACTCACTTAACGCCATGAGAGGAGTCGAGCCGACTCTGCTGCGGGCGGCTTGTAGCTGGTAAACATTTAGGTTACGCCAAAGAATTTAATGTCTTACATTACGTACATTTCACATTCGTGAAACTTATTCTAAGCAGCAGCTGTGGTAAATTGAATTTAGCATCGAATAACTATTTTCCGCTTCATCACACTAGTACAGTAGCCCAGCTGCAGAGAGCGAGGAGGCTGCATAAACAAGCATTGCCATGGCAACGGCTGGGCAGAGAGCGCGCTCTGTGCGACCTGTATACGCCTTGTGTTCGGACATCAACACTTACCATTTCATGTCCGTACAGCTCGTAGCCGGTGCCGTCGCCCTGCAAATTCAACAGTGGCTATAAGGAAACATCCCTTGATATAAAAATACCAACCAAAAAATATATATATATATATAAAGTTATATAAAAATGGCTAAAACACCCACGTATATTTGTCCGGTGGCGGCACCGACTAGTTTCGAGCCCATCGGCGGTCCTTCATCAGGATGAGTGGGACTGGTATTATTTCGCGGACGCGGCCCTCAGCTCACGAGTGAGTGTTTTAGCTTTTTTTATATAAGTTTATTATAATGTCTCACGAAAGTTTGAATAGTAGAAACATACGTCACAATAATATGTATTGGTATCTGAATATTGAGAGCAAGTCAATGGAATTAGAATATTATTCAAATTAATATTTTTATCGATCAGATTAATAACAAATAATTGTATCGCTTGATATTTATTTATCTTTTCTTAGCAAATTTAAATGTTAATGCGTCATATTCGCCATGAATACGTGCAGCTACACCGCGGTAACAATGTGCAGTATGTCCGGCATGAAGATTGCAGCGCGTGAGAGGAGATAGTTACCTGCCTTCTTCTCAGCTTCCTGTACTTCTGCGCGCGGCCGCCGGCGCCACATGCAACATAGAGCGTCTTCGTCAGTCACCAGGACGCGACCAAAGATGGCGGGTGTTTTGCCTCGGCCAGATCGCTCGAGGAAAATCCATTCTATGGCATTTATTTTGCCATCGGACGGAAATAGTGTTCCCATTTCGCCGATTCTAATTGAAACGTGTACAGTTCTTTGCAAAAGTGCTATATAAATGTAAATTAATTATACCCTTATTAGAATCCATCTCCAAATTTAGGAAGAAAAGTCAGGCATAAGGTTCGAGACGTGATGACCATTGTGATTTTTTAACTACTTTCTGAATATCGTTATTTAAAATGACTCGAGATTGTAAAGTAAGGGTAGGTTACGCAATATTATGTTACGTTAGTAGTTTGTGAAATTCAGTGTTTTACCAGAAATATTAAATGGTTTACGAATTTTAACGAAACGAATTTAAATTTTTACAAGTTCAAGTGCGGTGTCTTAACATCAGCTCAGATAGAAACAAGGTATACCTAATAACCAAAAATCAAACCATAAGAAGTCGTAATAACATAATGTTTTAGTATTAGTTGTTGTTTAAACTGGTTCAAGGGGAAACACCGAGCACGGCGCAAACAGCGTGCGCCGCGCTATCGGCGATATGGGCGACTCGATAGTACAAACGGTCCGAAGGAGAAACGCTTACCGAGTCGCCTTTGTCGCCCTTGTCTCCTTTGAGGCCGGGGTAGCCGGGCGGGCCGGGCAGACCCGGCGCGCCCAGCATACCCGGCGAGCCCATATCGCCGTAGTCTCCTTTTACGCCCTTCGGTCCCATTTCACCCTGCAAGGATCGAAAGATAAAAATACTTTTTATCTGTTAAACTTTTCCTTTCATATCCTTTTCTGTTATTGTAAATATTTTCATTTAAGTAGGTACAATTTTTTTAAATTATTATTCATGTCTTCAAAAATAATTTTTAAAACTCAATCGTATCAAGAACCACGCAACGTTTGTGCTGGTGTCGGAACATGTTTTAAAGACATAATTGAGCCGTTTTTAATTGTTCCCAGCCATTGACATAGAACCCGGTACATGAAAAAGTTACCGGCTTGCCGGGTGGGCCGGGTAGGCCGGTAGCGCCCGGGCGGCCATCGGCGCCGGGCGGGCCGCGCGGCCCCTCTGCGCCCGCCGCGCCCTCCGCGCCAGGAGCACCTGCAACATTACAAGATACGACTTAACGCCTCGCGCACAAATGTACGCGCGCTAACTTACTCACGTTCATTGTATTTCCTCTCTGTTCGCCTTGTTAAGTCGAACAATTTTCGAGAGCTCACATTTATCTATTTAAGACTGCTCGTTCGCTTATTTATTTTTATAAAATGAAGTATGACGATGACTTAGAGGACCTAAGTTCTGAACGGATGCCTGAAGCGGCATTCCGGGGCAAGGCCGCGAATGGCGGGTTGCACAATACAGACGGGCGCGACTAAGACCACATCATCATCATCATGACCACATCATCAGACCATAGCCGCGACCTGCGGACCACGGTATAGTATAGTAATAGTTCAAATAATATTACCCTTATAAGTGCGATGATTAAAGAATGTAAGCATATTTACCTGCGTCCGGTGGCCTAGCGGGGCGCAGCCGGCGAACGCCGCGGGACGCCGGACGCCGGACGGGTTAGCGGGTAAGCATTGCCGCGGCTCTAACACGTTAGTTGACATTTGTACCGCTACCGCAAAGTGTCTACTGGTAAAAACTGTTAACTGTGCAAATTATATCAAGCCATGCGAATGCGCGTGCACCATGCAACTTTCCGGCATATTCATGCGCAGGCGTTATAACAACTGCTGTCTACGATACATTACGATATTGGCACGTTGCCACAAGACAAGTTACATTCTAGATAACACTGAAGTAGATAGAGTAAGAGCGACTGTATGTGGAGCGGAGCGTTCGCTTGTCACGAGTTAACCTTCCGGGAGAGCAAGGGAGATAGTTAAAGATTTAAAAAAAAGTTATAACAGGACATATTATAACGTTATTTTAATTTAAATCAGAAATTCAAATAATGGACTACTGGTCAACTTCATGTAAGTATATCTATAATGGATTTCAAATATATCGTTGACTAAGAGAAGTAGATGCATGAATTGTTTCTTACCGTATTCATTTTGTATATATTTAGAAAAGACAGAGAAAAGAAGCAAGGATCGACATCACAGAGATCGATACCAAGTATAGTTACTGTCCGGCAGTCCGGCAGTCCGGCACACTCGGAGAAAGCAATCATTAAGAAGCGATAAGAAGAAGTTCCTAAGTAAGAGGCGATTGGCGGAGAAACCGCGGCAGACGCCGGGCGGGACGGGGGCGGTGCGTACCCGCTTGCCGCGCTTGCCGCGCGCGCCGCGCTCTCCCGGCGGGCCGGGTGCGCCCGCCGCGCCGCGCTCGCCGCGCGCGCCCTCCGCGCCTTCAACACAGTGCCGCTACAGCGAGCCGCTACAGCACTCGGGCAGGCACACACCCAAACACAACCACACACGCAAACACGCATACTTACTTGTACCAAATTGTACGTTTATTTATATCTTGCGTGGTTATTGTAACTTTGCGGTAATATATATATATATATATAAAATTAGACATTAATAGATATAAGTCAAACCAAAACAAACGGATTTTTGATAAAATAAGTTTTTTATCAAATTTATTTTGAATTATCGTGTAGGCAATCGACTACTAATTTAGGATGCTGTAGATTTTAGTGTTTCAATATCTTTATGGAGCAGCACCCCCAGCGCCGGGTGCAGGCCGTGTGGGCGGGGGGTGGCGGGGCTTTGCAGCCGCGCCAGCAGTGCGTGTAAGCTACCTAAGTTGAGGCGTGTGAGAAAGCGGTCTGCTAGGCGGGAGACTCACCCGGGGGTCCAGGGGGCCCGGGGGGTCCCTCAATGATGCCGGTGGGAAACGCATCGCCTTTCAGTGTCGTTGTGTAGCCGCGCTCGCCTTTGTCGCCTTTGTCTCCCTGAAATCAACATAAACATATTTTTATGAATTAACTATTATCTTACGAGCAGGTAATGAAACCCCCTGAATCGATTATTTATTATTTAGTCCCCAGTAGAAATAGGAAAGAAAAGAATGTCTACGAAAGAGTATAGAAAGCAGTTGGTGTTGCATTTGTAACTTTGTAAGTTCCGTTCAGAAGGAATGGACCGATTCTGACTGGGTTGTCATTCGACTCGTGGTCTTCCCCTGTGTATCATTGGGCCATCCCTGTTGTTCGAATATAATCGTCTGTAACTTATTGAATTTAAAATTTTAATTAAAATAAAAGTTGTGTGGCCATGGTGGAACTCAGAGCAATGAACAATACGATATTCGCGAGTCGATGTATACCTTGTGTCCCAGAGGGCCTTGCGGGCCGGGAGGTCCCTGTGGTCCGGGTTCTCCTTGTGCACCAACGGGGCCGGGCGGACCAGGCGCGCCCGGTGCGCCCGCGCGGCCCTCCGCGCCCGCCACGCCGCTCGAACCCATCGCGCCCGGCGGTCCTGGCGGCCCCGGCTCCCCGGGCTCGCCCTGCGACACAACCGGATTTGTTCCTCAGAGGGAACATCAACAATCGCTTCACTTACCTTTGGTTTGCATATAAAAATTAAACAGTTTGCCGGCATTCTTCATAAATTTAGAGGGAAATCGACATAGAATTTATAATGTAGCAAATAATTATGACAGGAGCACTGTCCTATTTAGTAAAACATAGCTATAAACATGCTTGTATCATCTCATTAAACAAGTGAGCAAGATAGTCGTATAAACAGTTTATTAGAGCGTCAAGTAAATGCTACTGTCATGTCTTGTGAACAGAAGACTGAGATGAGCATGATCAGCGGTGCGAGAGTCCGCACGATTGTTACCAAATTACTGTCTTATGAGAAATGTACGCTTGAATCAATTTTCGCGATAAAACAAGTAAACATGATTTATATAGGGCGTTGTGCAGCATGCAGACTGGTGTACTGGCGCTGGGCAGGGATGGACTTACCTTGAGCTGGATGACGGAGTGCGCGGAGATGTTGTGGCCGGCCGCCTGCAGCCCCTGCGGCGTCGGCAGTCAGTACACACACACAACATGGAAAGCGGACCAACAAACATCAACATATTACTCAAACGAACTGATCTACAAGCTTTTATTCTAAATAAAACCAAAACGACGGCCTCGCGAGGTGCGAGAGCCGCCCGCGGATGCGTCAAGCGACTTCAACTCAATGCAATTACAAACTTTGCAAAAAAATATGGAAAGCCATGAGAAATATCAAAAGATATATGTGACGTAAGGTCCGAGCGGCAAAAGATAAGGAGGCTAGGCGGCGTGGGCATAGAGCTTGAGCGCGCCGTACCTTCACGGCAATGATCTCCGCCGTCGTATACGGACTCATCTTATAGTTGTCGACGGATCTTTTCACCCCCTGCAACCGGCGCAACACACTTTAGTAAGTTCGCCTTCGCATAGACGCCGACGCTAACGCTCCCATATACCTATCTCACTTTTGGATTATGTTCCAAAATAACTTCCCTGGTATAGCATTTACGAGTATGTATGTTTGTATGTAATCGTAGAAATGTACTATTTGTGAGATATGCATATAAATGCATCCATAAGGATGTTAATATATGAGAGGTAATATGGCAGAATAATGTGAAACAACCGCATGTACCTTCACCGCAGCGAATACATCGAACCCTGGGCTGCCCAGCTCGCCCTTCTGCCCTTTGTCCCCTGGCCGGCCCTGGAACATTGTACAGCGTACATTGTAATGACGGCGCATGATAAACTACGTATAGCTTTTATAAATATTATAGATGTATAGATAACATCGACTCACCGGGTCACCTTTCGGCCCGTCCAGTCCGATCGGTCCCTGAAAAAGTGCAGTCACCCATTAATACCCAATCTCGATTTCTTGTATGTACATAGCGACAGTATACCATAGACTTGTAAACTGACACAGGAAAGGAACAATAGAAACAAGTTAGGATGTAGCGAAATTGTTTTGTAAAGAGTTGAAATATGGTTATAAAATAGGAAACACATCATGCACCCCAAGAATTAGTGGAAGGTCAATCTCTGGGCTGGTATGGTCCCGGGAGGGGTCAGAGCAGCCGACACATTCACAATGTATTATTTACCAAAAATATTCAGTTTCAAAGGTCTCAGCTACTCAATCTTCGAGACTATTAAACTTGCGCAAGATATTATAATAAATTAATAAGGAACGACTTACTCGCGTGTGATCGTTCGGCGACGAAACCGGACGACACACTTCGAGACTATCTTCACGTCTCAAACTTTAAGCATTTTATTTTTTTCTGAGAGAGACAGAGAAGAAAAACAATTTGCGTGAAATATCTTTATTTTAATAAAAGTGGCAAAAAAAAAGAATACAAAGGTAGTTGTGTTCGTTATTGTGTGGCTAAATGTTGGTGAAGACGACAGGGTCAGACTACGCAAAGCACGGCCACGCCCAGGGGGACATCAGGTCCAATTAGTTGTTAAGTGTTACTAACCAAATTGAAACGAGCAACTAACTAACAAGTTGAACTTTGGTGAGAGCTAGGCTGGGGGCGCGCATCGAAGTGGGTTACTGCGACAGTTAGTGGGGATTGAGCGGGACGTGCTACGCCGGGCTACGAGCTACGAGCTAGCTACGGGTCGCTACGGGAAGGCTCTTACCATAAAGCCTCGCTCGCCTTTCTCCCCTTTGCTCCCCTGAAACGTCACACGGGCGTACAGTAGCCGTCTGTATGTGGCGACATCGCCGCAAGCCCATCGGGACCGAAGTGAAAGGAAAACGGGTGAATCGCTTTAAAACTCTACACGATCACATCTTACAATTATTCATGTTATATGTAATAAAAAACATTCAGTTAAGAGCATAGAGATTTGACAAAATAACGGTTTCCGTTTACCGCAGCGAGCTGTCATCGTGCGGGGCGGGGCGGGGGCGGGGGGGGGGGCACTCCGCGAATACGCGTAGTGCGTCAGTATGAAATTGAAAAGGAGTAAACATTAAAATGACAGTAGAACAATAGAAAAAATAAGAAAAATAAAATAAAATAAAAAAAAATACCGGAAATCCATTCTTCCCCGGTGCACCCATTAAACCCTGAAAAGAAATTAATATAAGTCGTTGGTAGTGGTAAAAAAGAAAGAAGTCCGGTGTAAGATGCGGGCTTGGGGTAATCGGTGAGCTCCGCAGAGTCGGGCATAAGAACTGCGGGGAGGGGGAGGGGTTCGGAGGCGCGACGTTTCTCATTCAATAACGTGTATATAAAAACGAGTAGTGGCATCTGCAACTGCCACTGCCGCTGTAACAATGACAATTTACAAACGAAGCGAAGATAGCGAGCACTCACCGGGGGCCCAGGGTCGCCGGGGTCGCCTTTCTTGCCCTTTTTGCCACGCTTGCCCGGGGAGCCGGGCGGGCCGGGGGGACCTGCAAACATAAATCATAATTTTAAACGACTGCAAATAGTAAATATTTTGGACATTGTTATGATGTATAGAAATATTCTCCTTCATATCCTGCTCCGCCTTAAATGTACAAAACAGAAACAATCATCAAAGGAATGCCTCAGGCACGATGAACAAATTTGCCTCGAATTGCGTCGCGCTCCTATGTATAATGCTTTCGACTGCAATCCATTAGTCTTCTCGTCGAGGTGTCACAAAACATTATTTGTATTTAACTAACATACCAAGATACTCTTCTCCCCCCCCCCACCTCCGCCACCTCTGCCCCTCCACAGACACACACACACACGCACACAGACGACGAAATACTGGAAATAGGCCATACAAAACTGAAAATTCAAATATATTTGTTATTACGCTTAGCTGAAGGAGTTTTTTTAATTGTTCTGTATCAGCTGTCACCGGCGCGCCGTTTTACCGGACATCGAGAGCGGAGAGTCGCCGCCGCCGATGTTTATAATTATAATAACAGTCGTTCGCCGCTTATTCATAAATAAGTGACTCGTCTCTATGACAGCTAATTAAATGATATTCATTAGGCCCGTTTGTGTTTTAGATTTGTAGCTTCACAAATAGACGGAGCCGATTCGTCAGCGTGTTTGTTTCATAAATGAAATGAAATTATAGTTAATTTATGTTTGGACCATTTAATTCTAACTTTGTATGTGAGCTGGTGTAGAAACACTGAAGTGGCGTCGCGCTAGAGTCACACGCGGCGGGCGGCAAGCGGCAGGATCGTGAAACAGTTGCGACGGCAACCGGGGACGTAATGAGGAAGTCGTCCCCTCTCGCTGCGGGAGGGGAATTGCTGCGCGGCTATATAATTTGATTGTTCATACATATAGAATTTGTTTTAACGGATTATTATATAACATTGTAGACAGGTAGATGTGAACATGAATGTGTGCACACTTATTGCAATTGTTACAACTCATTTCTGTTTATTCGCTGCATATATGTTTCCACTCGCGCTTCACCCAGTTCGCACCGTGGCGACAATGTCGGAGACTGGCGTGCAGCCTAGCAGCACGCGCCCAGCACGTTAGGCTGACGGGGCTAGGTGCGGCAAGCTGCCGTGACTGATGACGTCTTTGCTCTATCGAACAGTATTATATGTACAGCATTAACTTACTTTTAAAAGGTTTTTCTCCTATATTCAGTATTATCATAGTAGCTAAAATGAAATACAACGTATTAAAATTTTTGCCCAAAAAAGGCGAGCTCATGTGCAGTCTTCTAACATCTCCGGATATCATATTCAGTCATCTAAATGCATAGGAAATACTAAGGTATGAAAATAGTGTCAAGGGTACGAGGGAAGGCAAAGTTCTGTATCTGTCTCCTTAAAAGATAAAAATTAGCCCGCGGGCGAGATGTTTGCGACGGGCGGGGCGGAGCGGCGGACGGCACGTCGTCCTGCTCGTCGCCAATTTACTCGTCAGCAATGTGTCAATGCACAAAACCTCACAAGTGCCGGGTTACCTTGTCGTAAATAATATTTTTCGTAATATTATTGTATTTACCGAGATGAGCCTGATATATAGCATCAAAACTGATTTCGTGTTCGCATGATCATTCAGTTCGTGTTCGTTCAAAAAACACATTTTGGTATTCAATTGTTTCATAAATATCACCTTAATGTGGATGATTTATGTTTGTAAATAACATACTACATTACTTTTATCAATTCACAGTCTTTAATATAAAAATAATATAATCTATAACAATTCAAGTCGGTGCTCCGCCTCTCATTTAACGGTTTTCGTTAAATGGAAATATCTACGTATATTTGAATGATTGAATACGCGATTGACATAAGTGGATGAAGGTGTAATTGCGTTGAGCCATCGTAGCCGCCCCGAGCCTAGCCCTGGCCGTGCGGTTGAATCGAGCGTACTCTCTCGAAAATTAGCATGTTTTTAATGTTTCAACAATATTTTCGATATTCGTCGACTTCTTTTCAACATTAAGATGCGGGATGACTCAAGTGCTCGTACGACGTCCTTCACACCTCGAAATAAAATTAATGAGTGATTACAATAGAGGCCTGAGAGCTGGAATGCTGTAATTAATTTGAAGCGAGCCGGCGCAGGGGGTGGGGGCATGCGGGGGTCGTGCGGGGGACGTGCTCTGAGATGTATTATTTATGAATGGTACGTGGTGAGGAGAGCGACACTCGAAGGCATTTTCGTCCGTATCTTGAATTCTGAGGTCAAAGGAAGTCAGTAATTGCTGCTTACGGCTGCCTACAAAACACGAACAATGTAATAGTCCTCATTATTTATTATCAGTTTGTGAACAGAACACGAGCGCAATACTTACAGACGCCAAGTTCACTAACGCTGCTTCGAAAACTAATTCTAAGCTGAATCTTTGTCGCTATCTATCGGCACTATGGAGCCCGATTCTCTTTGTATACACGCGCTAAAATTATGACGGTTTAATTTGTGAATCGCAGTGCGGCAGACACCGGGGTCGGGTGCCACATTTTTCCTTGTTTACTATAATATTAACCACATCGGATGATGTTTATCAAATAATATTATATGTTATTGTCCTGTTTAAATTATTATAGAAATATAGTTCGCATAGTGATAATGTTGGAGAATAAAACAAGAAATTTTCGCGAATGTAGACCCCCGCTCCTCTGAAGTGGTGTGACTGCCGCACCTCTGCCGCACCGCTACCGCACCGCTGCCGCCGCGCAAGTACGTTGCCTACTTTGAATACTACGGAGTACTGAAACGAATAAAGGATATGATTTTACCATTCATCCCGTCTTCGCTGAATCCTAAGTGGTTCGAGTGCGTGTGACTGCGGCTGTGAAACTGGCGGATCGTTCGCGATGTCGAGATACAACATAAGACACGCAATATGCTTAGTCACCCCCGTGCGACCTCGGCCGCAGAACTTCGGGTCCCGACCATCGAATTGTCAGCGTCTTACTCTCATCATTGAATTTATAGCGGTTGGTTTAGAGAAGTTAAGGGTGTGTTCATAGTTAGGGCGCCGCCGCCACGCCTCGCCGGCTAGGACTCGGGACTAGGCGAGTGAGTGCGTATCTCCAAAAAATTACTACATTAATTGAAGTTGTTTCCTGAACGAACTAATTACATTATTGTATAGACTAAAACGAGACGAATTTCAAAGAGAAAGTAAACAATTTGTCTGCTCTGGGTATCGACTTTGGCAATATGGATAGCGTGCCTCTTGTATGAAGAGAAACTGAAATAAGCTGAATAATTTATTGTTCTTAACAAGGATTACACACTCGTATAATACATCCCGGCACGGCAAAACTACAACTTGATCCCGCCGCACCGCACCTTGCGACTAAACTGATCCCGCATCATCAAAGCGCGACAATAACGAAGTTTCGGTCTTATTCAATTTGAATCAAGACTGAGGCGGAGTCAGATAACGTGATAGTTAACTTAAATGGATTATACAAAAGGGAGCAGTTAAACTAGCTTAAACTAATCCTACAATGACGCATCGCTGTTTCTCGTTTCGTTTCCGGCACACATCGTTTCGCGTTAAAAAAAACTGCATGCGTTCATGTACACTACATTTTGGAAGTTGGAAAGAGGAAACACAATAGGTATATTATTTTTCACTTTATGATAAATGTTATTAATATTTATTTATACCAAATATAGAGAAATTGCAAGATTTACTCGTTAAATGAATACAAGCTATAATCCCCCCCCACCCCCTATAATCATGAAACGTATAGCACGTTTTGGAATCTTTTATGTGAACATAGGAGTTATAATATTACGGAGATCATGTGAGGTCGACATATTTTTTATAAATGTTAATTGATTAAGAACGTCTGATTCAAACAAATGTAACAGAATAACAAATATGCATATATAACAATAAAAATGTTACTAGTACCCGTTCAGTACACACTCGGCTTGGAATAAGCTCCCGTAAACACGGGAATTAGTGTTTCTTTGTCCACAATCGCGAAGAAGAATGGTTTGTTCGCTGTGAAGGTGAGCGGGAAGCTTTTGAAGGAGAATTCGGCCTCGGTGACGGCGCCGGCGGTCGTGCCTCGCTCCGACACGACGACCGTCGCGCGCTGCCGCAGCGCCGACACGTGCAGCGGGCGCTGCGACACCCGTGGGAAGCTCGCCGCCTCGCTGTCGAACATCGCCCTCAATCCCATCGCCCTCAGGAGCTCCTTCAAGTTGTCAATGTTGGAGGACATCTTAAACCTCGGCAAGCTCACGGTTACCTCTTGAGCGTCTACGTTTTGTAAACGTTCCGTTATTGATCTTAGACTAGTCGTTTTTAAGACATCTATAACATTCCTCAACTTTACGTTCGCGTAGGGAATGAAGACGTACATGGAGAATTTATTGTCGTCGTACGGCAGCTCGGCCACCGTGGCGTTTATATCGTCCATGAACGAAGCGTTAAAAAAGTCGGTCAAGGTCATGAGGTTGACGCGACCGATTTCGTTTGATCGCTCGTCGTGGAATGGACTCTCTTTCGTGTCTTCCATAGGGAAAGGAGTTTTCCAGGCGCCCTTAAATCGGAGAACGTCCACGATCATCATTGCGATGTCTTTCAAATCATCGGCCTCTACAATCTTCTCAATGGTTCCGTTGGTAGCGGATTTGAAGTGCTCATTGACCGCTGCTGCAACGCGCTCTCGGTCATCGGCAGAGACCTCTACCAACTCGCCGACTCCGGCTTCCTTCACTTGGCTTCGAAATTTATCTATAACCGGCATATTTTTGTTGACGAATATCGCCGAAGCGCCTTCTAAACCGGACGCAACATTCGGCGAGTAAATTTTTTTCGTTATTTCAAAGAACTTTTTGACGCAACTTTTTCGTGAACTGAGTCGAAGAACAGAGTTCAATTCGTGCAGCGAGTCGTCTGCAGCGCCGAGAGACGTGTAGACCAACAGCATCCAGGCGGATAGGGTTGAGGCCACGAAGTGGTCATCAGTGCTCTGGGCCAGTTTCTGCACCAAGTCTGCGGAGAACTCGTCCACCGACCTTGAGAAGGATTGCTCCGCCGCTCGCCGGCTGCAGTAAGCTAGCGCCGCGGGTACAAACACACACATTAATAATATAAACTTTTTCATTCCGTGCGGCTTGTGGAATTGATAAATAAGACTGACAATTAATGAGTAGTTGACCGGGTTAATATAACGGCTTTGCGTTATCAGGTGACCGGACGCTGAATAGGAAGGGGCATGCATTTTGTCGATGCGATTTTATCGATTTTCAATCGAGTGGACTAAAGATGTCATAAAATTAACATTCAAACATTATGTATATACTAGACGTCACCCGCGACTCTGTCCACGGGAAATTAAAAAAATTACATTAGCCTTAGTGTTCTGCCACACTATGTTCTACCTACGTGGCAAATTTCAGCGAGATTCATATAGCAGTTCTGAAGTTATATTCTATTATAATAAACATCCATCCGTGCATCCAAACTTCCTCATTTTTAATATTAGTAAGATGTGGCAAAAATCAAAATTATAATTGTAGTTTATGAGAAAGTGCAATAGTACTACAATAGGAGCAGATCGGAGCGGAGTGGGGCATCTCTAGCTAAGCTGCACGCGCAGTCACGTGGGATGACAGCAGCGCCTCTCGGGGAAAACCGCTTAGTATAGTATTTATATATATATATAAGTTTGTTATTGTACTGTTATCGGAAATAATTAAAAGAAATACACAGAGACGCGGGGCGCACACATTCCTACAACATGCCCGATAAAAACACATTCGTCAATGTTTCATTATTAATTTTAATAAGAATAATAACATACTTCGTTTCAACGGTATTTTTTGTTTACAAAGTATACAGGTACAGGTACAGGTACAGGTACAGGTACAGGTACAGGTGACAGTGTGGAGCTGACTGTTGCATAATGTTATTACTTAAAATATGTACTTATTTCATATTGAGAGGCGGCAGGTAAAGTAAAAATAAAAAAAATCATTTATTCAAAAGAAAAGGTGTTCATTTGGCATGTGCTCCGGTTTCAGCGTCGATTTTAATAGAACCCTAAAACGTAAGAATAGTAAAGAACTTAATCGATAAACTTAAAGTAAGTATAATATATTTAAAATAAACGAGTTTTTGTCACCAGTTTACCAGTGTCACAGGCGAGAAATAAACTTAAGGCAAAAAATAATAAATATAAAATAAATGATAAAACAATTAAAAAGCAGTATCACCGCTCTATCAGTAGTCGCGGCGGCGGGTCAGGTGTCAAATAATTCATAATATACACCGAGTCCCCGAGCTCAATGGCTGCTTGCGGCTGCAGGCGGCGGCGGTAGTGACGGCGCCGTTATCCGAGGCTCATCGCAAATGACTACATATTTTATGCGGGATATCCGCGGGGAGTTCATTAAAATCCGACACGCGGCATCAGTTAACTTAAGTATTATTGAAATTGTACAAGTAGTTAATTATTGCGTTTACGAAACACATCAAAAGTTGCATTGCAGAGTATTAATAATGCTAAATCAATGAATTACAATTTGTCTCTTTTGTACCGCAGCCAAGTGATGCTGCTAAGTTATAACAAACGTGTGTCAATTAATTTATAATAAATGTCGATATATTATATGTATATCGTATTTAATTGCAATACGATACGGTTTGCTTTAGCTTGTGTCTGTTATATGTATGTATAGCCATACCATCTCTAGCAACAGCGACGATGCGATAAAATCTTACTAATATTAAAAATGCCAAAGTTTAGATGGATGGATGTTTGTTAGAAGGTATCTCCGGAACGGCTTGAGGAACGAGTCGCTTGCGTCAGCTTTAACGACAAGAAGATTTATTTAAAGATCACTCAGATTTTTTGTTTAAGCTCAGTAAAAATGTAGTATGTGCTAAATGTAGGCCATGTCTTTTGCATCAATTATTGTACATAACAAAACTAAGACCGAGAGAAAATCTTAGTGCACACATTGTAACGGAATGACCCAGCAGAATGTTGTAAAAGCAAAAAGTTTCTCAGCCGTCGCTTGAGATGTCGCGACGACCCGCATTCACAGGGTATTAATGAGCTGCGAGGCACATCTGTCACGGTGCGTTCGAAATAGGCGATAGGCAAGAAGTGACAGGTGAATTTGTATAACCGGGATGGTGAAGGGGGGCGCGGCACAGTGCTCTCAAACAAGCTGCCGCCGCCGCGTGGACTGACTCACATACAGATTCCTCACAGAAAGTCACAGTGGTCAGAGGGCGGCGAGCTGTGGCGACACAGAAACGGTATTATTATTAAGATGAAGAACCTTCATTACATTGAGAACATTTTGTAAGAAATGAACTTGAAATCTGTTTGAAGTGTCTCTTGAATCAACAATACACATTTTCATAACAAGTTTAGAAATGAAAAGGTTTTTGTGAAGTAGCGCGTCGAGTCGAGTCAGGACTCCTCCTGCTCTCACTGAATATAAACCCGCGCACCGAGATATTCGAGCGCCATTTAAAGTATTGCCACAATTTTGTTGTTACGACAGAATTATATAAAATATCTAGTAGGTGATATTTGGTAGGATTTGGTTCGATCCGATACGTTGAAGGGTTGTGCCCTAAAAGTCAAAAATTAAATGAAATAAAGAAAAGGTTCAGTTGGTTTTCAATGAAAATAAGCGCGTAGTGGAGCGTTTGCAAGGCGAGAGGTCGTGTGCACGCTTACTTCCTTTGTACAGAATTAAAGTGCCCAAAAGTTAATTATAGATCACCGGTGCGGGCCGGTGCGGGCCGGTGCGGTGAGCGTTTAAATGTTATTTTCCACATCGAGTTGACCTTACGTACCAAATTACTGAGGAAAAAAAAATAGTGCAATTGTCAAACACAACGTCAGTTTTCATAACTGCCATGAGGCAGATGTTTATTTCGCACGCTCGGTGTGCGGTCAGTCACGAGATAGAGGCGGCCAGTCGAGGGCAGGTCGGGGTTAGTCGCGGCCAGCAATTGGTTTTCCCGGCGAATGGTATTTGTACAAAATTTACTAATTCGCATCGTTTCAACTGTCGTCTTGACGTTTTTTAAATCGATAATAATGTATTTCTGGAACTGAGTGTATTTACCTCGTCTGTTGTGGCTGACTAGCGTCACATCACATGCCGCTGCTGACTCCACTCACGCCTACACTACTGCTGTATCGAGGAATTATTTATTGCAATCCAGTATTATCACGATGTGCAGTCAAAAAGTTACCTACATACATGTTACTGCCAGAACCATTAAAAGTTCCTACATGTTATGACAATATTCATAGTATATATTTATAAAACATTATACTTGTGTGTTTCTTGCTACTGTTGTTTATACTTGTTATGTATGTGCAGACGTCGGAAGGGTCAGTTGGCGTGATGATTCCCGCGGGATCCGCACTACTGTTCTAGTCAGAATATTTACATCATGCTTTGCTTACGTTTGAAAATACTAGAGTTTGATCCCTCGCTACAACGACACGACTACAGACTAATGCATACTGATTTTATGTTGATGATTGGATGCTAAGATTAATTCAAAACATTAAGGTTCATAAAACCCTGTGCGCCCTGTGACCCCACGTGAGTGTGATAAAGCCAGGGTGATGATGACCTAACACTTTGCATAAAACTGTATTTACAAAATATCTCATTCGTGGCCATAGAGCCATAGTTTACCATGTTTTTGGAAAGTTGGGTGCAGACAGTTTGAAAGCGTTGCCGCAGAAGTTACAAATTTTTTTTTGGTTTCATCCTCTCCCCGTCCCGCACTTGGTGCATTTTGGTTGGTGGATAGTATTTTATGTGCAGTGTGGCAGGAGCTTCGAGCTGTATCTAAACAAATCTCTACAAAATTGCTGTCATATTTGCATCCGAGTGCAGGCGCCGAGAGCTCAATGACAAACTTAATAAAAGGGAAATAATCACGTAAATACTGTTCTTTACCAATTTTCTATCTATGAACGTTCAAAAAGACGACTTCGACAGTAGTCACCATGATATCGCGATTAATAAAGTAGTGTACAGATGCAGTGATCCGCGTATCGTGCGGTTGCAGTACGCCGTTAACTGCACTGGAAAATTCATAGCAACGAAGGGTTCTAAAGTTTTATTGTCCACCAGTCGGCCACCGCCCACCGCCCGCCGACCGTCGCTCGTTGCCGCCCGCAGCTGCAGAGTGCTTCCAATCACGACCTCTTGCGCTCAAGATTGACATTTATAACGGCACGAACCGCAGACATGAAGCGTTTTATGCCACACTTATTTGTTTTTTTTGAACTTCTGGCGGTTACACTTCCATGCCGACGTTTTTCGCCTCGCCTCGTCTAACAACAAGTTTTATTGTCACGTGCTCTCTTAGCGTTCTATGTTTCCCTACTGTTCTGATTGTTAACACACCGACATCTGCCCCTGGCCTTACCTAGATGTATACTGACTAAATTAAATATAGTCGGCATGTTTGATTTCTCCAAGACAAAACGGAAATATTTAGTAGCACTTGAATGAATCCTATGTCACATGAATTTCCTTGAAGGTTCAGAGACTCAACACAAGTGATGCCTTTTCAAACATAACCTTTCTTTATCGCCCACATTTTATCGACAAATTCTTCATTAGGGGGTTACGTGAATTTACGACACCGTTAAGTCAGATGGGCCGTCAAATCAGTGCTAATTAAGAGGACGAATATAAAAGCATGGTCACACACGCGTCACGCGGCGGGGACTCATGTTTCGCAAGGGTCTATCCATCGATCGGCCGCAAGGGTCCTACCCCTCACGAACACCTCGTGTCTCTCAACTTACGGTAGCTTTGTAAATACATTAGCCAGCGTCTTGGCGTTCGTAACTGGATGCGTGTTTGATATCTAAATATTTGTCAATAAATAGAAAGTAGAATGCATCAGTCACAGCACCTCGTCTCCTAGGCAGAGGCTTCTGATCTAGCGCTTGGGAGTCCCGTTATTCACCTATTGTCATAAACCTCATAGTATGTGCCATACACGGTTTTAGCTTATTTGCAATGCTATAAGTACAATATATTCTACAAACTTCCAATATTTGAATTAACAAGTGGTCATTAAAATTGTCGAAATTACTGCACAATTACCGTTCTACAATCTATGATTTCTATACTACTACTATGGGCGCCCAG